TATTATTATTATTATTATTTATTATTAGTACCTTAGTCCTAAATGGATATGTAGAATTGTAAATCCTTCAAGGGAGGGCTGAACTTCTTTATAAAACATATGTTTAATTTTTTATAGATTTCTTTAGACATTTTAGAGATGTTGCCTGTTCACGCTTTTACCAAATCCAAATTCACGTTTGGATTAATATAATATACTTAGATATGGAAGAACACACCATTGCTGTTATTGCCTGAGAAGTTCACTCATATCATCTAAATGGCACTGACTATAAAGATATGACAAATCTGCAACCAAAAGCCTAGTACATTTCTTCAGAAAATTCCTAAAGTTATATTTTCCCAGTACAAAGAGAAAATATTTTTATACTTTAGGTTGAATATACGATGGTTTTCACAAATTCCACTTATATAAACACAACACACGTTGTTAATTTCATTTTGGTATAGCAGTTTCTCTGTACAGACATATCAAGAGTCACCATGTAAGGAAGTGTGAACCAAGGGCTATTTCTCCTCTCTGCATAAACTGAACTAAAATCAGAACAGGAATTGGCTGAGATGCAAAATGATTGCCTTATCACTGTGTTCCAGCCACAGCAAAATGGCATGTTAAGTCTTGAGCCCAGAAAAATCTCTTGAGTCCTGTCAAGATTGGCCTTCTGTACGTCAACATTATTGCAGGTGCTCCTGACACCAGTCAAAGAAGAGGAACGAAATAAACTTAGATAGGTTTCTCACAGTTTCTTTGAATTATATACCTACATTGTTGTGTGAATACAAGAAAGATCTGGCTGTTGACTGATGGTGGGTTTTCTATACTTTTCCATTTTGCATTGCTTCACTCTTTACACTGAATAATGTCTACATCACATGGGTGATTCAGGAAAGCCTCAAAGGTCTTTCTCTGGATATGACCACTTTCCAATTGGAACCACTGGTTTGGTAGTCTGTTTGTTTACTTTTGCCAATGGTGGTGCCCTACTACTCAGAAAAGTTTGCCTGGCAAATGCTTTTCTGTTCTCTGATTTTTGTATATCCTTGTTTTAACTCTTGTCTTTTGCTGGTTACATTGGCTGCCGCACTGTTCAATTTGTTTTATTGTTTTGGTTTTATTTATATTGTAAGATACACTGAGAATCCTTGAGGACTGAAGACCAGGGCAACACATTTTATAAATAAAATGTTCCTTTTTGAGAAAGAAACAAGATTACATTTCATAAGCAATAATTGTCTTTTGCTTATTAAGTTGCTTCTTTGTAGGTTTGCTTACTTGAATTTTGCTCGTTAAGTTCCACTTTCTTCTTTTAGCACCTACAATAGGACTCTTTTTAAGTTTTATATATATGAAATTGGTTAAGACTGTCCATACATTGATAATGAAGGGCTATGTGTAATTACTTGGAAGTAAGTCCCAGAATGCTTAAAGGGGCTTACTTCCTAAAAGTGTGTTCAAAATTAAAATCTTGTACTTTTGCTGAAAAGATATATTTGCTCATGAGTAAAGCCATAAGGGATGGGCAAGATGTCGTTGTTCAGATGTTACAACTAATACCATTCCTCACCACTGTCCATGTTGGCTAGGTTACTGGGACTTGAAGTCAAAACAGTCTGTGGGACCACATGTTGCCCACTGGTCTAAATCCAATTGCTCCCAATTAGAGTAAACCCATTGACACCATTATGAATGTAAGTTGACACTTACGTAAATTCTGTTGATGAAATGGGTCCATTCTTGGAACTGTCAGTTGGATTTGAACATAATAATGTGTATCTGTCTACATACCTATGCCATGATAGCCTCTCAATTTAATACTGTTTCTCAGTATTTTAGGGTGAGAAAAACAGAATAATGATGATTGGTCTGTCTTTATTATATTTATTATTTATTTAAAATAAAATACAATAAAGGCAAGTAAATCAGCACTGTTTCGAAGTACTGAGGAATAGACAACTGAGGAACACTTGTCAATCTGACAGCTTCTAAAAGAAGAGGTTATTATGCCTTAAGTGTTTAGCTCTTTCTAGGCCTAAATCCAATAGTATCATAGCTGCTCAGGTTGTATGCATACATCCCTGTGCTGAGCGCTTTGCAGGGTAACATTACGGTATTCTTCACCACCAACACCTCCTGCCTACCTTAGAGGGTTAAGCTGTCTTGTGTGCCAATTAGCTAAACAGGTGGGAAGGGAGGAGGTGCAGTCAGATCTAGGTACACAGGGATAGGAAGTTGAAACCTGACTGCCAAGTGCTGAGATCTGGTTAGGGTCTCGATGAGGGAGGAAATGTGTGGAAGAAAGGGGAATGGTAAACATGTAGCCACAGG